TGATGCCATATTATTCATAAGTTTGTTTTAATCCCATGGTAGATCTACTTGTCTTGATACAATTTTTGTTCTCTGTTATAATCTTACAGTGAGATACGTCCATTTTTAGCGAGGTTAATCGGGGATGAATACTGGACGAGATCTCGCAAGATTATCGAGATTGCTTTAAGTACTAAAGGATTTTTGTTTGATATTAGAAAATACGACTGGTTGTTGGTTGTTTCTTTCTTTTTGTATGTGATAGTTACGTACGTCAAAGTAGAAGTATTACCTAAACTACTTAAAGTTCAACACAATCTACCTTCTGACTCCGACTTCGTCCGCGTAACTTTACACAAAATTCTTGTGTTCCCATTTCCGAAAAAAAATCGTAATAAATAAATAATTATCTCATAAACATAAGTATTATTTTTTCGTTATTTATTTAAATATGAATTATTGTAATTAAACATACAAAACATATAATCTCGCGAAATCTCGTTGAACCTCAATCTCGCGAGATTTGCATTCTCTAGATCAGGGATGGCCAACTTGTTTAGACCCAAGATCGATTTTTCCCTGACGACACCTAATACGATCTACCAATTACATTATTACTTAAAATCTGAATCTAAAACTTAAAATGAAACAGCATAATTCGTACACAATTATGTAGTAGGTACTTTTATTTTATTAGGTATGAGGGAAAATATAAAACTACAAATTATTCTTGGTAATATTATTGCAGTTGGTGACATCATTGTGCAATGTATTCTATGTACAAAATACATAGTATTTAAATTTTTTTATTGACAAGATCGCCTGGCATTATAGTCGCGATCGACTGGTTGGCCACCCATGCTCTAGATTGACATAAGGTTGCAAGCATGGTTGCCGGACAAAGCTCTCGGATTTGATTCCCGGATTGATCAAAGTAGGTAGTTATGTCCTACTATTCAAACGTGGCATTTTTCGTCTGCGTGTCGTAATATTCGGTCCAAAAAACTTCCGATATTTATTTTTTGGGCATATTTTCCCTTTCCAGCGGGCTTCATTCTACTGGGTATAGGCAAGTATCTTTGAGTACTTTCTAGTTTTTATTAGCCTTTTTTAGTTTTTATGGCGAAGTATTTGCACTAGACTAGCAAAACGATTGTTTGTTTTTACAAAGATTGAGTTACTGTGTGCATAAGTAGTATTTTTTTTAATTACCTTCCTCTAAAGTTATGAATTTAAACGGCATATGTCAGTAGGTAGGGATGCTTAAGTAAGCTTAAGCTTAAGTAAGCTTAGGTACTTAGTTCGACTACCTACTTAACTCGACATTTTTATACTAATTAAGTATCTACTAGGTATTTAGTTTCTTTGAGAAATTCCTGAATGCTAATAAACATCAGAATGTAGCAGTATCCTACAGCTGCGTAACCACAAGCACAATACAAACTTTAATTAACTAACAATTTGCGGAGGGCGCGACGGAGATTTGGAGTGAGAGTGATACCACCCTCCGCCCTCGACGCGCCCCGGAAGGGATGTTCGGTATATAGAGAGCACAACCCTCTCGGCGGGCACAGTTCGGCAGTGGACTGCGCGCACCTTGCGCCGGAGTGGAGTGACAAGTGAAGCAGTGCGCATGCGCATGGCAGCGCTGTGTAGGCGCGGGCTGCCGCGCGGCGCCGTGTCGCGCGCCTTCAGCGCTCACCTCCTGCTGGACGCCTGCAAGCGAACTGACGCAGAGCCGGTAAGTACCACCTCAGATAACTTCTGTAGGTAGGTACCTACTTAAGTACCTACCTACTCGGAGACCTTTAAGAAATCTTCGGTATTCCTGTCTGGAATATGATACATACCTACGTACGAGCACCCAGTTACAGTTACCAATAGCAGATTGTACTTCATCAATCGTGTAAGCTAGACAGGTGAAATTCGGACAGATGATATGTCCAAGGTCCCTTGATCTTTATGTGTAAGGCGTATAGGACGGTTAGCATGGAGGACCTACCTGTGACTTTACAAATTTTCCGTAGTGCTTAGCGACAGGGCTTCTCCCAGTCGTGCAGTGTCTTTTGTGCCTTTAGGCTTAAGTCATTCTGTCTCCTGCATAAATTAACCGAGGTAAGTAAAAACTATAGTATTTTTCTTCTCTATTAATATTTTCTGATTTAATTCGTTGCGGGATCCGAGACAGTTATTCATGACCCTAGGACGCGCCGAACTTCAGTGTTACAGTAGTTTCAGCGGTTTTGAGAGGTAGTTGCGGGCTTGTCCCATAAAAAAAAAGATGATGTAGGTACATATACATATGTATAGGTTACAATACCTACCTAGGTACTATTACCGTCGCAAATTACCGACCATCTTGCTCGACTTATTTTTTTTCTTTTTTTAAAAAACGGTGCTCCACATTAGGATTTATTTTTAGTTGTTGGTTTTATAAACATTGTTTTATTTTTTCACCATACCATCAACCCATTATATTACTTATACTCGGAATTTTAATTCGATTCCAGATTTGACAATTCCAGTGTTGCAACGTTATGACAAGTACTAAATAGTGACGTTGCGAAATTATTCGATATGGAAATGGAATATTTCTGGATCGATTCTTCTCGTTTATAATTTTACTCTCGTAAACTAAGTATATCAGGAAATTAAATATTTCTGAACCGATAATTTAGTTTTGACGATTATTTAACGATTTATAATTGTGTGTGAACACAATTATAAAAGAAAAGTCTCAGATCAATAAATAAAAAAATGTAATCATGAAGGAACATGACAAATAAAACAGATAGATGTATTATGGTAATAATTTATTTTATAAATTGTCGCCGTCATCGCTATTGCAATCGCTGTCACTTTCTATAACATTTATTTTAAAACACACACACTGATTGTTTATCGATTTTTGTGTTCATCACTACACTTTTATATGTGGTATCATTATTTCACAAAATGACAGTAGCTAATGTCAAATCTGGAATCGAATTAAAATTCTGACTTATAGGTTCTAGTTTCTGCCAACGGCTTCGCTCACGTTTCCCGTGTTAAAAAGTAACCTTGACCATAATCTACCCATGTCCCAAATTTCATCCCGGTCCCTTCAGCCGTATTGATATGACAGAGTAACAAAAGTATGTAACAAACATTTTCCCATTCATAACAGCGTTTCAAGCTGATTTCGACAATCGGCCGGTCAGCCCTATTGGGCCCCATCTGTGGTGGTCTGATGGCTCTTTGAGGCGCGCGCGGAACGCGACGCGCCGTACGCTCGGGTCTGTTTCTGGTCGGACGGGGAGCCACCCATGCTCGCCGTCCGCAGGCCCGCACTTACGGTGGCCGGAGATCGTCCCGCGATCCCCGACGTCCGGTGTGTCCTTCGCGATGGCTGGGTTGCGAGGAGGCAGCGCTTCGCTGCCTCACGCGTCCCGCCTCCTCCTTAGCTAGCATGACTGCTTCGCAAAAGGAGGAGACGGCATCCCAGTCCCCCTCGCTCCGCATCATGGCCTGCACTAGGCCCGGACGCGAGAGGTCGCCATCGCCGATCACTTCCCTGAGGGCACGGCGGTGCTCAGCCCACGCAGGGCATTCCGCTACGGTGTGTTCCACCGTGTCCTCAGGGCGGTCCTCGCAGTGATGACACCCGGGCGTTTCCTCCCGCCCCATCAGACACAGGTACCTCCCGAAACTTCCATGTCCGGTGAGGACCTGCGTCAGGCGGTAGGTGAGGACGCCGTAGCGTCTCTCAAGCCACTCCTCAAAGGGGGGACTTACCGCTGCAATGGCAGCGAGCCCAAGATCGAAACCCATAAGACTAGGTTCTAGTACATCGGCACGTTTTTCAGATATACGTGGAGTTAGACAACGGAGGCTGGCTGACAAGCGCTGGCGGAGGGGCCGGGGCTGGGTCCGGGGCCGGCGCCGAGCCTGGGGCGGCAGCCGGCGCGGGGCCCGCCGCCCTGTGCGTGCGCGCGCGCCTGGCCCCGCACGCGCTGTGTGCCGGCGCGCTGCTGTCGCTGTCGCCGCCCGACCCGCGCCCGTCGCCGCCCGACCCGCGCCTGCGTCATTCGCCGCCCGACCCGCGCCTGCGTCATTCGCCGCCCGACCCGCGCCTGCGTCATTCGCCGCCCGACCCGCGCCTGCGTCATTCGCCGCCCGACCCGCACCTGCGTCAGTCCCCGCTGCCGTACTCCCCGCTCCCCGAGGTGCTAGTGTCGGTGCCTGCTCATCTTCGCCTACACGTGACCGAGCACTTAGCGCCACATGCAGAGTTCCTGTTATGGTTTGCAGAGGACGTGCTGGCCGCTTTAGATATGCCGTTCCTGACCCCGCAAAATATTAGTGACTGTAACGACTATACGTGTCACAAATGTGGCACCACATTCGACGAGCCCAATCCGCTCAAGGTTCATATGTTCCTATCCTGCGCCATTTACGAGCCCGAGCACTTCTGGCGCCGGGTGGTAGCTCGCCTGAGGCCGACCGAGTACTCTGCGCCCGGCCTGTCGCCCGAGCTGGCGCCCGCGGCGCTGGAGGCTCTGGCCACGGAGTGGGGCCGGGCGCGCGGCGGCCACGTGTGCGTGTACTGCGGCAAGCTGTACTCGCGGCGCTACGGACTCAAGATCCACCTCCGCACGCACACAGGCTACCGGCCACTACGGTGCCGCCATTGTCGGCGCCCCTTCGGGGACCCCAGTAACCTCAACAAGCATGAGCGCCTGCACGCAGCGCGCGGCCGGGCCCCCGCGCCGGGCCCCGCGATGGGCCCCGCAATGGGCCCCTATGGATGCGCGCAGTGCGGGCGCGCGTTAGCTCGGCGCCGCGACCTAGAGCGACACATGCGCACGCACACGCGTGACACTCTGCGTGACACTCTGCGTGACACTCTGCGTGACACTCTGCGTGACACGCACTGACACACTCAGTGACGCGCTCAGTGAGACGCGCGGTGACACGCGCGGTGACGAGTGACTTGACAAATGAAACACAGTGGTAGGTGTAAGAGTTTATTGTGTCGAGGTTTATTGGCCCGCGACCTTGGCGGCGATGCGCTTGTCTCGTTCCTCTGCGATGGTGAGACGCACTCCCTTGCCGCGCGGGAGAGAGATGTAAGCCTTCGTGCCCTTGCCGATAATGAAAACGTTGTTTAATCTGTAATAAAATATTAACTACATGTAATTAACTCTAAGCTAAAAATGTAAAATATGTAACATATTTGTAAAATGATGATATTAATTAAAACTGTGATAAGTAGTACTATTTGGGAAACCTTTTTCATTTTTTTTGTGATCAGAAGTTGCTACTTGGCAAAGTTACCCAAACTGCCCAATTTATATTGAACTAGCTACTCCCGGGTTTTATCGCTACTCGGCTCCTATTGATCGTATCCTACACAAAAATTATTTTTCCTATCGTACCAGTAGTCCCAAAAGTTAGCGTAGCGTATACTAGTAGTACATGTATATATAGTAAGTACACAATGATTGTACAGAATGTTTGGCGCATGGACCGACACATTTTTTTTAAGAATTTGGGAGGTTATTAGCTACCTTTTACCAGACAACCCTTCGTCCCAAATATTACAGTTGGTCATGTTTAATTTTTTATTATTGAAATGTAACAATTTTCCCAATGTTTCCTTTAATTCGAAATAACTTTTTCGTTTGTCGGTCCAGTGGTCCAAAATATAATTTTGTTGTGCACTTTAAAGTACTTTAAATCTAAATATGTATAACCTTTTATAATAAAAAGTTTTGTTACGAGCTTCCAGTTTGATTTTCTATTGACACACCTGACATTTTCCAACTTCTAAATTGATTATATGTTCAGTGTAGAAATAATCTGTTTAAAAGATGCACTCGGCCAACGCCATACTACTATTTATTGTGTTGTCCCATAGCTCGATAGATGGCGTTGGCCGATTTAAATTCAAGCTATGGTTTCGTTACCGGCAAAACATTAGGTTGTCTGCTTTGACGTAAATAAATTGTCTTGCTCTGAGGTACTTCGTATTATTTCAAGTAATAGGCTCCAAAGGACTTTCGGCCGATACTGTTCATGGTCCAGTCGAGCCGAAGGGTGTTTATGGAAGAACACATACAATTAAATATAGTTGTGCTAATTGATACGAGATGGTGATAGTTGTCGGTTAACAATACTACATGTGGAAGACTACGTGCTCAGCTGCCGAGGACATACATCGGGAATCATCGGTGAACTTCGTAGTAGTGAAGTGAAGTGCATAATTGTGGACAAAGAACTGTGAGTACATTCAAATCATTAAAACTAGGGACTTAGAAAAATTCGCGTGCATTCGATCAGGGACTTAGAATAGTTTCAAGAAAAACGACCAGACGTCGAATCTATGCCCGATTTCGAAGCGATCTACAAGTATTAAACACTTAGAAAAATTCTCTATAGTTTGGACTTGGAAAATTTGTCAATTGTCAACTGTCAGCGACACTTAGAGAATTTTCATCTATCTTTCACTGGACTTAGAATATTTTCATGAATACAAACAACATGGAGAAAGAACTAAGAAAGCTGAAAGATATCAAATTACAAATTGAAAAGGGCTGGATAAATTACAAGAAGTCCCCGAGAGATCGGATAAACTACAATTATGTCGATGCACGTTTAGAGATGTTAGAGACCCAATTCAAGAATTTTTCTGCGAAATATGAAGTCATCGTAGGTGATTGCGAAAGTGAAGAATTACAGGACTTTTTCCAGGAAGATATCTATGAGACGGTTTATGAGTGTTATTTAATGTACAAGGTAGAATTAAAAAATGTTTTGTCCCAATTAAAAGTTCACAGCTCAAGGAAGGAAGGTTGCGATGGTTCATCTGACAGCAGTGTGGTAAGATTGCCAAAAATAGTTTTACCTACTTTTAGCGGAAAATATACAGAGTGGTCGTCATTCCGTGATTTGTTCGTGTCATTAGTACACAACAATAAAAAACTTGATGATGTCCAACGTCTCCATTATTTAAAAACTCAACTGTCAGGTGAAGCGGAGCAGCTTATAAAACATGTACCTATAACTGATTTAAACTATAAAAAATGCTGGGAAATGTTAGAACATAGGTATAATAACAAGAGATTTGTTTCCGCATATATTTTAAATAGATTATTTGGCCAACGTAATATTGGAAATGAATCATCAAAAGCACTAAAAGATTTACTAGATGTGACCAGTGACTGTTTGCACGAACTTACTAATATTGGGATCGATGTAAGTTCTTGGGATGTAATTATTATTTACGTTGCAAGCTTAAAGTTGGACGTAGAATCGAGGAAGCAGTGGGAACTGCATGTCACTAAATCATCCGACGATCTACCTTCCTTTAAACAGTTTTGCGAGTTTTTGGAAACACGTTTTCGTGCTCTCGAATGCGTTGAGCCTAAAAATAAATTAAAAGTCGATCATCATCCTACATCTCACACTAAGGTCATGCACGGTACGACTAATAGGTTATGTCCACACTGTTCGGAGAGTCACAAACTCTTAAATTGTAAGAAGTTTTGCCAACTAGATGTGGACGGACGTCGTGCCGTAACACAATCTTTGGGTGCCTGTTTTAATTGTTTGGGAAGTAATCATACTTCCAAATACTGCCGTGTTCTTTCGAAATGCCGTATTTGTCAGCGTAAACACCATACGCTGCTACATCCGAAGAACCATAGTGGAGCCATTGGGGTTACTGCGTCAGGGGAACCTATTCTCCCTGAACTTGGATGTACTTCAGAGCCAGTCCATGATGTCAAGGTAAGTATAGCATCTCATTTTGTGAATGAACAAACGCAGGGTCAGGTCTTGTTAGCCACGGCTTTGGTTAAAGCCGAATCACAAAATGGGTCCTCTCAGGTTTTGAGAGCTTTGTTGGATCAAGGATCACAAGCATCTTTATAACTGAGTCAGCTGCGCAATTACTTCGTTTAAGGAGAGTAGTCTCAAAGACTACTATTGCAGGTATAGGAGGTGAGCATAGCAAGATCGTTTCTAAACATGTAGTGAATATTGATATTCAATCGTTGCATGATTCCTCTTATACCATAAACGTAACTGCGCATGTACTACGTTCACTGACATCGGTTATGCCAGATAAGAATGTCAACCTTGACAATTGGCCAGAAATTCACAGCATACGTCTAGCCGACCCAAATTTCAGTCGTTCTAATAAAATTGATATTTTATTAGGGGGGGAAGTATACTGCCGTATTTTAAAGGAAGGTCTGATCAAGAGTCCTACAGGCTCTCCGGTCGCACAAGACACGCATTTAGGTTGGATTGTGTCAGGCTATGTCAGTAAGGCAGATAGCTCTCTAAATTCTCATAATACTATAATCACGATGTACACTCAAATAGAGGAGAATGATATGTTAAAACGTTTATGGGAATTGGATTCCGAACCTGCTATAACGAAAAAGCTTCTCACGCCTGAAGAACAGGCCTGCGAAGAATTTTACGAACAATCGACAGTTAGAGATGTCAATGGGAGATATGTCGTAAAATTACCTTTTCGTTCCGAAGATCCACTTTGTAAATACGGTAATTCTAAAAATATAGCTGTAAAAAGATTGCTAGGTTTAGAAAGGAAACTGGGTAGGGATGATGAATTAAAACAACAGTATGCTGATGTAATAAAAGAATATTTATTGCTCGGTCATATGGAGAAAATCGTTGATAAGGCTGAAATAAATAAAAACGATGCTGTTTATTTGCCTCATCACGCAGTGGTTAGACAGGATAAATTAACCACTAAGGTAAGAGTGGTTTATGACGCGTCATGTAAGGGAACGAACGGGGTTTCCTTAAATGACACCTTAATGGTAGGACCCACTCTTCAGGCAGATTTGCGACATATTGTCATGAGATGGCGTCAACATCCGATCTGTCTGGCTGCCGATATCGTCAAAATGTATCGCCAAATCAAGGTCGCTCGACCTGATACAGATTATCAAAGAATTGTTTGGAGAGAGAATCCAAACAAAGAGATCGAGGATTACCGACTTCTGACTGTCACCTTTGGTACGTCGTGCGCTCCTTACTTAGCTGTAAAGTCGTTGCAGCAAGTTGCGTGCGATGAAGGCGAGGGGTATCCAATGGCTGCTGAAAGGGTGAAGTCAGACTTCTATATGGACGATCTGATGACTGGGTGTCAATCTGAAACAGAAGTAAAACTAATTTATGATGAAATGAATTGTCTATTAGAGAAAGCGGGGTTCCAATTGCAAAAGTGGACAAGCAATAGACCATCCATTTTGGAAACGTTGAAGGAAACTTCTGGTAGAGACCTTGAAATAAAAATGGATAGTATAACTAAGATTTTAGGACTTACCTGGAACCGGAACACTGATGAATTTGATTATTCTGTGAAGATGTCACCTCCTGCTGCACCTGAAACAAAAAGGACGGTTATATCAGAGATATCAAAGCTTTATGATCCGTTGGGTTGGATAGCACCGTGCATTATAACCTCGAAGGTTTTCATACAAAAGCTATGGATTAGTGGAATCGGCTGGGATGATGAACTGCCACCAAATCTCTTACAAGAATGGTCATATTATAGAGCAGAGTTAAAGAAACTGGTAAACTTTCACATTCCTAGATGGATACATAAAAGCGAAAAAGATATTACAATGGAGTTACATGGCTTTAGCGATGCGTCAAATATAGCTTATGCGGCTGTGGTGTATTGTCGCATTGTCGATGCTAATGGGCAAATACACTCGCACCTCATAACCGCAAAGACAAAGGTAGCTCCCATCAAGCAAATATCCATTCCACGGCTGGAGTTGTGCGGTTCTGTTTTAGTAGCAAAATTATTGATTGATGTAGCTCAAGTAATGAACATTCCTAAGGCAAATATACATGCTTGGACGGATTCATCAGTTGTTTTGGCCTGGTTAAATGATCATCCAAGTCGATGGAAAACTTACGTGGCTAATCGTACTTCTGAGATTCTTGGTTTGCTAGACAATTCACAGTGGGCTTATGTTAAATCTAAAGAAAATCCAGCAGATATAGCTTCCCGGGGAGTGTCTTCAGCATTTCTCCTTGGTGATGATCTTTGGAAACATGGACCTGGTTGGTTAAGGAATGCTCAGATAGACTTCACCCGGCCTAGTGCCATTCATACTAATGAGGAGTTAAAGCAAGTTAATGTTCACACTGCCAGCGTAGTGCCTGATTTTGAAGTCATTTGGGGATCTAAGTATTCATCACTTTCACGTTTGGTGAGAGTTGTTGCGTATTGTAAAAGATTTTTGCAATCATTAAAACTTCGTAAAGCGAATATTAAGGTTGCAAAATACCAGTCAGCTTCCGAAATTCACAAAGCGTTGAATGTATGTATCAAACAAAGCCAACAGCAATGGTTTCAGGCTGAATTGACAGCCCTGAAAAATAAGAGTCCATTGGAAAGGTCGAGTTCTTTATATAAGTTGAATGTATTTATCGACCAATGTGGGATATTGCGAGTTGGAGGAAGGCTACGGTATTCACCATTACTTGATGATACAAAGCACCCAGTTGTTATTCCTCATGATTCAAGTTTGGCTAAGTTAATTGTAGCCGACGCTCATGAAAGGACCTTTCATGGAGGACAGCAACTGGTACTTAATTTTATACGCATCAAGTACTGGATCAGTCGGGTTAAAAAATATTGTACGAGCTTATATACGTCGTTGTGTTCGCTGTATTCGATACTCGGCGACCACGAATCAACAGCTTATGGGAGAACTTCCGGTTTGCAGAGTGACTCCCAGTAAGCCGTTTCTGAACTCCGGTGTCGATTATGCAGGCCCTATTCACATTAGAGTCTCCAAAGGTCGTGGACAGCGGTCGTATAAGGGGTACATCTGTTTGTTCGTATGTATGGCTACGCGCGCAGTACACATAGAGGTTGTTTCAGATTTGACGACTGAGGGTTTCCTGGCAGCGTTCAAACGGTTCGTTTCTAGGCGCGGTCACTGTCGTCATATCTGGAGCGACAATGGTACAAATTTGTGGGTGCTGCTAAAGAGTTGCAGATGCTTTTCAACCAACAGAGTTCGATGTACAAAGACATTGCAGCTGCTCTTGCAAACTCTCAAACAGAATGGCATTTTATCCCTCCTCACGCTCCTAATTCTGGTGGGTTGTGGGAAGCAGGGGTGAAAAGTGTAAAACACCACTTGAAGCGTGTGATAGGTGACTCCACTTTGACGTTCGAAGAACTGTCCACAGTACTTTCCCAAATCGAGGCATGCCTAAACTCTAGGCCCCTGTCTCAGGGTAGTAGTGATCCAGAGGATTCTGTACCTCTGACTCCGGGTCATTTCTTGGTGGGTCATCCATTGGTAATGGTTCCTGACTACAACTATGAAAGTGTCACAGTTAGCACTTTACGCAGATGGCAATTAGTACAGCGTATGGTGCAGCACTTTTGGCGTAGATGGAAACAGGAGTATTTAACAAACTTTTTTCAAAGGCATAAGTGGAATGTTCGTAAACCTGACTGTAAAATAGGTGATGTAGTTTTAATAAAAGAAGATATCTTACCTCCAGCTAAATGGTTGTATGGCAGAATTGTTGAGCTGCATCCGGGTAGAGATAACTTGACGCGAGTTGTCACTGTTCGTTGTAAGGGCTCTATGATTAAACGTCCAATTTCAAAATTGTGTTTTCTTCCTGTTACTGAATAAGGCACAAAATCTTGTAGATTTAATTGTTTAAGTTGCGTATGTTTTTAGATAAGGTTTTATTATGTTATTTTCTTATACTGCACTGTTGAAATAACAATGTCTCTTACTCTTGTGCACTGTCATGTATTGATTACAATGTTTAGTTAGTAGTTTAGTTATATTGTTTTTGTCAGAATTTTGTCAACCTGATATTTTTGCCGGTATCAAGAATTTCGTCACCCAGATTAATGTTTTTGTACTTATATCTATTCATTTTGATTGGAACCATATCTGTCCGCGCCAATGTCTGTTAAAAAAAGCCGTCCACTAGATCTATCTCGATGTATTATTCGTAATATAGTAATATAATTGTCATACAGTCCACTGTTCTCCTAGTTGTTAAGTTTATGCATGGTGGGCGGTACGAAAAGGAATATATTCCTTTTGGTGGGCGGAATGTTCAGTGTAGAAATAATCTGTTTAAAAGATGCACTCGGCCAACGCCATACTACTATTTATTGTGTTGTCCCATAGCTCGATAGATGGCGTTGGCCGATTTAAATTCAAGCTATGGTTTCGTTACCGGCAAAACATTAGGTTGTCTGCTTTGACGTAAATAAATTGTCTTGCTCTGAGGTACTTCGTATTATTTCAAGTAATAGGCTCCAAAGGACTTTCGGCCGATACTGTTCATTATAAAATAACTAAAGCCATTTTAAAATTAGTTTCATTTAATTAAGTTCCTTATTTAACCACTTGAACGCACCGATATGAGACAATAGAAAATACATCGTGGCTCGCGTGGATCCACGTTTAGACACACGACTGGTTAATAGCCTTTCTAACAGTATGCTACAAGTCACAGAAATTATTCATTATGTTGTAAAAATACAAGTTACTACTTAGCCAAAGCACAAACAGCAAATCAAATCATATTTATTTGCTGAAACACGTATGTGTTTGTACACATAAATGGATTTAGAAAATGAAAAATTTCAGACTGTGAATGATAAATTATACTTTGAAAGCTTGTAAGAAAATCGAAACCGTTTGTATCGAACAAATACAAATAGGGTTTGAAGTATACACAAAAATTTATTTTAGGTCACTAGACCCCAAATCAAAAAAGTTATTTCGAGTTGAAGAAAACATTTTAAGTGTGTAATGACATTTGGGAAAAGTTTTTGGGTAAAAGGTCGTTAATGACCTCTCAAATTAGGGTGTTCATTAACTACCTCACAAGTAGGATGTGTCCTATGCAGGACGTAATATTGTAAATGTATGAAGGAACAAGCTCCTGCTAGCAGCTTCAGATAAAAAGTAGTCTTATTCCAGATCATAATCTGTTTCTATTCCAAATTCCTCTTCAGCCGTTTTGACATGATTTAGTAACAAACATACAATATAATGCCCCAAGTGTGGCCAGTGTTCCTAGACCATGGTACCCACTGCCCATCAGGTAGGACGTCTGTTTTTTAGCCACGACGGTGGCATAAAAAGTTACGCATTTTTAATTTTAGTAAGATAGTAAGATGTGACAACCATTAAGGAAAATATTCTAGGCAATGTATTGGTATGAAAGAAATCCATTATTAAATAATGACTCACCTGGTGGCAAAGGTGTGACCTGTGGAATCCTTAATATGTACAATGTCAAATGATCCGGGATGCCTCTCACGGGACACAATGGTGCCCACTCTTCCCAAGTTCCTACCGCCAGTGATCATGCACAGATTGCCTGCAAACATTTATTATTCCATTAGTGTTGACCAAGTGACAATGCAGTCGTCAAACATATTTTCAGAAATAAGCATACCTGACTCAAACTTAATGAAGTCCATGATCTTGGATGTGGCAATGTCAAGCTGCACAGAGTCATTGACTTTGATGAGTGGGTCGGGGTAACGGATGGTACGTCCATCATGTGTCACCAGGAATGGCACGTTCTTCGGGCCAGTGGACACACGCTTCACCTTGCAAAGCTTGTACTGTAAAGAGCAAATCATCCATTTCATTAATATTTTAATAAAGTATCCACACCTCTATATATAATGTTTCATTCAAAGCAGTGCATTTTATGTAATCAATAAAATACAAAATAACACATTACTAACAAATAAAAGTATTTAATAATCCATCAAAATTGACATTCTTCATATCACAGGCTGGCTGTTTATAAATACACAAACACTTTTCATTTGTTTATCAGTAATATATAAAAGTTGATACCCACATCAATACCTAGTATCCATTTAATACATATTTTAGTTGCCCAATAATCAAAATTATGAAATAAAATATGATTCCAGTTAACTAAACCATTTTGCATAAAGCTTGTCATATTATTACAATAAAAGTGTTTTTTTTTCACTAATAAACTACCAACCTTAGCTTCTTCAGGTGTGATACGGTGCACAGTGAAACGTCCTTTGACATCATAGATGAGGCGGAACAATTCATTGGTCTTCTCAATGGAAACAACATCTGTAATAATATAAATAAACCTTATGAAACCAACTCCTCATTCAAACTAGTCTTTTACTGAACAACCATAGGTGCCACATGACCATGTGACTACTCAGATATTAGTAAATCTTATTAAGCTCTACAATACATAGAACAGGTACCTACCTAACCTACCTATAATGTCAATGAAACACCAAAGCATAACTAAATAAAATTAAGTGAATGCAATAAGTACTCATTGCTGTTGCATACATTAGATGTAAATAAATAAACAATAAGTTTGATCAAATACCAAGAGATCTATATACGAGCTAATCTGGCAAAAAATAAAACATTAATGGCATCGGTGTATGAAGCAAAGCATGCGTATAACTCACCCATAAAGCCAGCGGGGTATGTGGGGTCTGTCCTCACTTTACCGTCCACCTTGATCAGCCGCTGCTTCACAATCTTGAGGACCTCATTACCGGTGAGCGCATACTTTAGCCGATTGCGTAGAAAAATCACCAGCGGCAAGCACTCGCGAAGTTTGTGAGGACCAGTCGAGGGTCTCGGCGCATATACACCGCCCAGCTTGTCCAACATCCATGCTTTGGGAGCATTAAGACGCTTCAAATGCTTTTTGGGTCCGCGAGCCTAGACAAACACAATAAATATCACACCACGAAACTTAACCTCAGATTTGTATTTTGAACATTACAGCTCAAAATATCACTTTCTGCACCGTTTAAAGCTTACCATAAGTAATGCTAAACAAGTAAATAAAGTTATTAATAATAAATATGTTGAGAAGAAAGAAACAGAACATCTAATGAATCACAACTGACGAAGTGTTTTTTGATATCGGCATTAACGCACAACAACCAAAATGGTAAAAATATTGACTGATATCTTTTAATTTAACGCAGCCCTTAAAGAATCCGTAATTAATATTTATTAAATACCAAACACTTTCAAGATTAAATCAGATTTTTAACAAGTTTACGCAAAAAACTCACCATGTTGGTCACAAACTTTTAACAAGAAAGAAACGTCAACTGAGAATCTTGACAATACCAAATATTTCAAAGACAAAACATAATGTTGTTTTTGGTATGTTTGGAACCTAGGCTTATGGTTCGACTAAGGTTCTAATAGTTTTAAGCAACAAAAAATTAATAAGGTGCGCAGAAAGAATTTCAAGATGAAACATTGGTCGCGGTGTCAGTTGGTGTATAAATAAAATAAAACTTTTCAGGTTAGTTTGTTATTAATTATAAAAATAGGTATAAGTACATTACTTAAATGAATATTATTAATATACAGTTCGAGTGTGTAAATATTTAAAATATGACCATAATGTAATAAAAATTAAAAAACCAAATTATACAAAAATGGAGATTATATAGAGTCTGTCAAATAAGAGAGCAAGTCTAGTCATGAAAATGGCGGCAAAAAATTCTTTCAGGTGTCAACACTGTTAAAGCAATCTGAAAACTTATTGATACTTGAATTTGTGATAAAAAAATATATTTGAAATAAATAAAAAAAAAATCTATAACTTTTCAGCGTACTATATCAGTGTTGACACCTGAAAGATTTTTGAATCGCCTTTTTCATGGGACTAGACTCGCTTGACAGACTCTATGAGCGGGTACGATAATTTGCGGGAGTATAGTCCAAGGTACCGGTGTCAGCCAATGGGTTATTCCTTAAAGCCTCGACATGCATCTCAGGAGGCTGGCGTTAGGTGGATGGATCAAGGGCCTTCTCAAGAGATCAAGGTTTCTGCATCTAGACGGCTCCAGAGACAAAACCTTCTCACGATACGTGCTGTTTCTAGAACAACCGCCTTCTGGATCAGGCTCTTGATCCATCCACCTAACACCAGCCTCCTGAGATGCATGTCGAAGCTTTAAGGAATAACCCATTGGCTGACACGACTATCGGCACAATGATAGCCGAATCCACATTCTACATGTCCACTCGTGAGGTAAGTCTAAATATTTTATTTGTTTAACTTCCTTAGCTTTCACGAGGTCCTCGTCATGGGGAATGATGACATCAATTATCATCACGACGTTCTCGTTATGGGGAATGATGAACGTTGGTTCACTGATCGGCCTGAAGACGGTGGTTCACGAGTTCCTGATTTATTCGAGTCCATCAGTTGGGTAATAACAAAATATGAAACACGTATTTTTTATTTTGCCGTATAAGAAACACGAGTGAGAACTAACCACGTCATAACATACTTGTAGTACAAAATAATGATCTTTCTATTATCAATATTAGTTGCATGTGGCGCCCTTTTTCTAGCTAGTGGGTATCTTATTTCGTCTATGATGAATTAATAACAAGTGTGTTTAATGTGTCTATACCTAATATTAGGCTTTAGCCACGCTTTAGCATACAAAATGAGGATCTTAGATAAGGATGTCTAAGCTTAAATATTTATTATTTAGCAATATTTATTTCATGGATTTATGCTCATTGACATTTCAGGACTTGGCATCATTATCAACAGCCGGAAGACGACACTGTTGGCGAAAGGCCTCCTCCTTAGTCCATCACTCCATATAAGCGTGCATACCTACTGTTACTATTTATTTATTTATTTATATGAATAGAACGGTACAAAAAACCAATTACACTACTCAATACATATTCAATTGTAAGAAACAATACAAAAAAGTCAAAAGCAATGGCAACGCAAGTAGTTACGATATAGAACTTTGGGGCAACACTTTAACTCTATGGTTAAATGCTGGTTTATGTTCATAGATATAACGAAATTAAAAGACCTATACTCGAATTTGACAATTTTAAAAATCACTATTGTTAGGTCACGACACGATGTGGATTTCAGACGCAGATGTCACAAATGACAAAAGTATGAATGAATGATTAAAATTGAATAGGTTATTATGTTCAAATAGGTTGTAATTTGAGGTTATTGTTAACATATTTCAGGTTATACCGTTTTTATAATGTGACTAGAGTAGATTTAAATGTTTAATGGAGTCTTCTTCTGACAATAGCTTTGCTTGGACGGATACTTCAACTGACAGTGTAAACAGTACTTCAATGTAAGTAACGTAATTGAATTCTATTCGATGTTTAGTTTGTTTTGTTGACACTTTCCTCATTTTTGTATTCAATGAAATTTAAATAATTAATCAAGCAAGAAAGTCATAAAACATCTGCTTTTTTATTTTTCAGGGCGACTAATGCGTTCAATGTGAACGACTCATGTAAATCCGATAGACGAGTTAAGAAAAAAAAAGAAAATTTATCCAGGATAAATGAATCTATTGATTTAAAAGCTGAGACGGATATAAAACAGGAAGCTAATTTCAGTAGTATTAAGAATTGTATTAAGGTAGAGCCAGATAGTGTGGACGGTTTTAAAAAGAAAAAGAGAAACAAACATTTAGAATGCAATGGCACCAAGATTGAGTCACAAGACTCTGCATCATATGACGAGACATATCTCAACATGAAGGTCAAATTAGAAGAGACTTCAGTTGTGTCTTCTCAGAAACATAAACAGAAGAAACGAAAACACAGTTCAAGTGTAGATTCAAATTCAACAACTTCCAACTGTGAAGTAAATCATGAGCATACTTTGAATCAAGAAAGTGAAGTTGACACTACACCGCCGAAATCAAAGAAAATCAAGAAACTTAAAAAAGAAGACAGCAGCAATAATCACGATGAAATGTATTCACCAGACCTAAATCTTAGTCTACAGGATGAAACATTTAGCAATAATGAAAGTAACTATAACAACTGTTCTGTTATTGAGAATAATACACTACAGGACGGTAGTGATGAAGAAAGTAATGATGAAATATCTGCAATTAAATGTGATGATAGCCATGTCATCCACGCTATATCATTCATCGACAAGGGTTTAGAAAAATCTAAATCACAAACTAAAAGAATATCTGATAGAATACGCTTTGAGGATGATAATGATTCTACACTTAATGAATCAAGTCCGGAAGAAGATGAACATTCCTCTGAATATAGTAAAAAGCCATTAATATTGAAGAAGGTGTTGAAAAACAACCCTAATTTAAAACAAGTTCTTCAGTCATTTAAACAAAATACTCAATGCATCAACCAAAATGATGAAATATGGATTCTTAAGTGTCCTAGAGAAATTAACATTTCAGATTTTACTAATACTACTTTAAATATTCATGGAAAATGCAAGGTAAAGTTGGCTGGCCAAACTTACGAAGGCACTGTCGAAGAAGAACAATCAGATGCATTGTCACTCCTGGCTCTAGATCATAACAAACTTAAAATTAAGACTATATCACCCAATGGGGCTATTACCTTACGTAAGAGGATCCCAAAGGCACATTTCCGTGATGATAATATAATGGTAAACAATCAAATTAACTTCATACCACTGCCAGAAACTAAATGTCGTCATCCTCTATTTGGGTCTGATTATAAAAAGTCTTTAAAAATACCGGCAGCTATATCAGAACGTCTAAATACGCAAGCCAATGAAGAAATTGTAAAAACGGAAAAGAGAAAGAAAAAAAAAGACAATAAAAATGACAATAAAGCTTCACAGATTGATTTGCAAGAACTAAGTGTCTTTGAGATGAAATCAGAACCTGGTTTGCCTGCAGAAGTAAGAGAAAAGAAAAAAAAGAAACGCAAACTTCTTGATGATGAAGGTCCTGCAAAAAAGAAAGCAAAGCGTGTCAAAACTGATCCCGAGTCAGCAGAAGCATGGGAATCAGAGAAAGCTATAGAAGAAAATTTATTTAACTTTTGATACATCTTTGTAATATGTACTAATTAAAGCTTATTTTTTAATCAAAGTGTTTAATTACCTTCTAAGTTTTTCACATAAATTCCAATAATTTTAACCAATGACTTAAGACTCTTGATGTGGTCAGGCTTTAAAGAACATGCAATACCAACCATTATCTCAGATAAATAATAATTCATGACAAATCCGTCTAACTTTATGCCAAAAAAAATTAAGTTTTTGAGACGATTACGCCATTAAAAAATATATGCCCAAGTATTATTATGCCAAAACAAATTGTGCTAAAATCGTTATCCCGTAGTATATTAGGACAAAGAACATTATGCGAAAAGAAGGGATATCATAGAATGTAGGTATAATTAATTATGTAACACGAGGGTTAATAGTTAGGTTTGAGCGCATGCCTCACGGCGGCGAAACATACCACCGCCCAGCTGCGGCCCAGATGTGGCGCAAGGGTCCTTTATTGTTTTTGCTTGGACGCACCCTTAACGGAGTGAAAGCGAACCCCGCCAACGACAGTGGACAACTATCCGCGAGAGCGCATAGCCGCTATTCCGCGAGGCACCAGGTTACATTAACTAATTTTAAGTTAACCCCTGTTAGTAGTTTTATAGACACCTGTTCAGTTAATAAACGTTTTCACTATAGTTTTCGCGCATTCGAACCTCATTTCCATCTCACACCCCTGACGTAGAGGCTGAAATATAAAGCCCAACGTTACAATTATAATTATTCTTCGACTCTAGAAAATAGTTTGATTTTAAGAAATCGAATCAAACAGAAACCCATTTTAAATGGGATCGATTCAGTGCATTTTTTTTATAATGGGGGAAAATTAAAATTATCGAATGACTGCTCCCGCCTGGGTGAGGCGGGAGGTTCGCCGCCTCCCCGGAGATCGTGCGGTATTTGCGGATCATTCGGATCGCCATGATCCTTTGTGACATGAACAGCGCCCGAGTGGGCCGCCGCATCAGGTTCGGCGCCCACACAGGGGCTCCGTAAAGGGCCATGGACCACACGACCCCGGCGTATAACCTCCGGCATGGGGCGTTTGGCCCCACGAGGTTGGGGAGAAAGTACTTAAACGCAGCCCCCGTCCTCTCCAACTTTGGAGCCAAACGTCGGAAGTGCTCCACGAAGTTCCACCGACTGTCGAGGACGAGTCCCAGGTACTTCATCGTCGTTTCGACGCCGATGGTAACCGCCGTTATTTGAGACCCACCCGGAGGCCGGAGGTGGCGCGTTCCCGGCCATGAATGCACATGGCCTCGGACTTGTGTAGCGCCACCTCGAGTCCCAACTGCCGGATTCTTTCAACGACTGTCGCAACGATGCTAACGCCGTTCGGGAGGTCGGTGCGCAGCACCCAGTCATAGCCGATGTTCCACAGGAGCGGCCCCAGAACCGATCCCTGTGGAACACCGCTAGACATCTCTCGCCGCTTCCACTCGCCCCGGTGACCGGGGTGGGTAACTTGTCCGTCAGATAGGCGTCGATTACTCGACGGAGATAGGTAGGCACCCGATGATATCGGAGTGCCTCCAAAATGCAGCTCCAGGGCAGGGAGTTGAAGGCGTTGGCGATGTCCAAAGACACCGCCACACACAACGACCTTACCCCTGGACACTGCAGTCCCTGTCGTCCAGTCCCTAACGCCGAAGCCGAACTGGTCGTCCGACAAGTTCGGCCCAACATCCGACAGGTGCGCGACGAGGCGGTTCGAAATAATTCTTTCGAAGACTTTCCCCACCTCGTCGAGCAGCACTATGGGCCGGTACGCGGACGGAAAGTCGGCAGGGTGCCCCGTCTTCCGCACGAGGACCAGTTTGCCCGTTTAGGAGCTAGGTAAGAGAGCCTAGTGTCCTAGAGGAGGTTTCTTCTTTTCAGTTTTCAGTTTCCAGTAGTAGTAAAACTCCGATGAGAGGTGTTGACAAGAATGATTTATTTCGCCAAACTACGCTACTTATATTTCTATTTACATATTTACAACTAGACAATATCAGAAATAGTTAGGTGATAGTTTCAACCAATAGCGACGCGCCGGCGTGCGCGGGGCGCGCGGTGTGCGGGGCGCTGCTTTGCACATGACACTAACTATCGGTGTCTTCCACAGAAATATTAAATTTCTTTATTATATCTGTGGTGCCTTCCGTATAAGTATTGCGGCGCGGCGCGAGCGCGCGTCGCCCTGGCTGGGGGCCTTAACTTCTTGTTAGTGGCCACCGCAGGGTTTGTCCGGTTAAGTAGTCAACAGCCTTAGCGTGCTGAACTACGAGTGGCCCTAACCTAAAAAAAAATACGACGAATGCAAATGCTCCGGCTCGGCGGCTACGGCTCTGCTTGCGCTGCTTGGCTGCTTGCTTAACCAAACCGCTTCTTCCGAAGCGATCGCTCGCGGCACGGTGTGATAACGCTGTTGCCGCAGTGATGATTATTGTTTCTATGCGAGAGTCGTAAACTGTCTTTATCAAGACAATTGGTTTCTTGTTTCTAAAAACGAAGTCAGTCCATAACTTTGTACCAGGTATTGTGGAAGGTATATGGTAAGGTATTCGGTGGTACTGGTAACTGGTAGGTATGTAGTCGTGCGGTGCGGCTACACCCGCTTTCCAGAGTAGCGGGAACTGGCCTCTCTCCAAGCATGCGCTATAGAGACCGATTAATCGAGGCCTGAGAGCCTCTGAGGCCAGGACCCATGCTTTGCCATGCAAGCCGTCAGGTCCTGGGGCGGTGTTCTTGGCGCCCATCTGGCGCACCGCCGGTCTCAATTCTGCTTCCGTCACCTCTGGGACGATGTCATCGTCATCGTCGCTATAGCCCGCGTCGGTCACTGCAGCCAATCACCTCCTCCAAGACTTCTGGCCGGAGACTCTGAGTGAGCGGGGGAGCCCAGACGCGGAGCTTATCGCGCACCATCCGGTACGGGCGTCCCCACGAGTCTCTATTCAGAGTCCCAGCATCTCCTCGGCGGGCCTCCTCCTTGGCCCGCAATATCTTTGCCTTGAGGACGGCCTTCACCGCCCTGTATCCCTCGTACAACTCCGCCTCTCTCACCTCCGCATTCGGAGAACGGAGACGGCGCCTGCAGTGCCTAGTGTACTGGCGTCGCGCAGTAGTGGATGCCTTGCGCAGAGCCGCCAGCTCTTGCGACCACCAGTACACCTGGCGCATTTGAAAGAAAGAAAGAAAAACATTTATTCGACACATTGCATGCACAGATATGTAGACAAAAATTAGTTATAAATAAAAACAAATTAAAACAAACAATAAACATCACAAAATTAACAAAAATAGATGCATGCACGTGTCGAACGGGCCTCCACCTCAGCATTATGTTGAGCGTGGTAACACTCAACGCTGATCTTCTGGTGGCACCCTGCAGTGACTCACGGATGGTAGGTTGCCTCGATTGGATCCGGGGCATAGCCACGTCACAAATCCTGGACATGGCATCCTAGAGCTACTTAGCCTCATCGTCAATGTCGGCAGGCCTGACCGGTGGTATAACCCAGGCCTGCACGATAGCGGCTTCCAGGAGCAGCTCCCGGTCCAGCTGACGGTGACGAACTCCCTCAAGGAGTTGTGGAACTCGGCGAGAGTTAGGTTCGGAGAGCAGTGCCGTAACTAGCCTTCTAGGCGCCCCGTGCGAGCTTTCAAAACTGCGCCCTTGAAAAATGTCCTTACCAGGCTCTGACAATAAAATAGACAAATGTGCATGAAAATATAACTGTTTATTGTTTACCAAGTTATAGGTCGGTACTTAGTAGATGTTTTAAGACAATTCGTTGCTGCCATTCCGCCATGAGATCGCGCCGGAGCTCTTCCCCCCCAAGCACTTATCTGACCTCATTGTCAATGTCGGCTAGCCGGACCGGTGGTATCACCCAGGCCTGCACGATAGCGGCTTCCAGGAGCAGCTCCCGATCCAGCTGTTTCAGCGCCCAATGCGGGCCACATGGGGCCTGTCTGACCGGCGGGTCTGCGGACTCGGCGGAGACGTCGAACCGGATATACCGGTGGGCGGAGTACGTCTCCACCTCCTCCATGACGCGACAGTCAACGATACGCGGTGACAAAGCAGGGCTGGCGAACGAAATATCCACCGACTCGCCCTGCATCCGCACGCACGTGGGAACAGAACCCCGGTTCAGGATGACTAGGCCTGTCTCAAGGGCCCAGTCTTCAACCATCCTACCCCGGACGTCGGTGAACCGGGAACCCCAAGCCAAGTTTTTCGCATTGAAGTCCCCGAGGACGAGCACGGGGAGGGAACGGAACCCAATGACGACGGTGACTAACTGCCTCAAGGAGTTGTGGAACTGGGCGAGAGTTCGGTTCGGAGAGAAGTACACGCCCACCACAGTGAGCTTTCCGAACCGTGCTGCGACACAACCCCGGCCTCTTTGAGCAGCCTCAAGAGTCAGGGTACCGGCGGCGGCCGACGAGATGATGGTCACCGAGCCGTCCAGGTCCGCCACCCAGTGATCTCTGGGCGGGACAAAGTACGGCTCGGAGACCACGGCGACGTTTATGGGCCACTGCGCCATGCTCTGGAGCAGGAGATCCTGAGCAGCGACGCAGTGGTTGATGTTCGCCTGGAAGAGGCGGAATGGAGCCATTATTAACAATCCATCCCGACCTCCTCAGTGGCGGCAGCGGTGACTGCGGCTGCAGTGGCGGCGGCGGCGGAAACGACAGGGGCGGCAGAGGGCCTTCCTTTGCTTCCTTGGGGTTGGCAGGACGCAGCCCTTGCTCTCGACCTGGTGATTGGGCAGCTTGCCAGCCTCTGCACATGCGTTGCAGTGCAGCGGGGCGGTGCACGAGCCGGTCTTGTTATCGGACCGACCGCAGCGCAGAAATAACAGTTGCTGCGGTCCACCTCCGAGGTGCATTTGGCAGCGGTAGCACCTCAGAGGCCGGGTCTCGAGCAACTTGACCTGCGCCGAGGCCAAGAGCCTTTTGTCCGCTTTTAGCTTTTTGGCCGCTGTGACGGGGCA